GCCTGTAATCCCAGCTACTCAGGAGGCTGAGGCAGGAGAATTGCCTGAACCCAGGAGGCGGAGGTTGCGGTGAGCCGAGATCGCGCCATTGCACTCCAGCCTGGATAACATGAGTGAAACTCCATCTCAAAAAAAAAAATCACTCTGTTACTGCATGAACAAACAGACCTTAGGAGGGCAAGAACAGGCCAGGCGCAGTGGCTCACTCCTGTAATCCCAGCACTTTGGGAGGCCAAGGCAGGCAGATCATGAGGTCAGGAGATCAAGACCATCCTGGCCAACACAGTGAAACCCCGTCTCTACTAAAAATATTAAAAAAAATTAGCTGGGTATGGTGGTGTGTGCCAGTAATCCTAGCTACTCGGGAGGCTGAGGCAGGAGAATCACTTGAACCAGGGAGTCGGAGGTTGCAGTGAGCCAAGAATGTGCCACTGCAGTCCAGCTTGGACGACAGAGTGAGACTCCGTCTCAAAAAAAAAGGAGGGCGAGAACAGAAGTGGGAAGATGAGTTTGGTAGTTGTTGCAGTAAACAGCCAAAAGCGCAAAACCGGAAGATTCTCCTTCCTCCTCCTCATACAATCTAGCCTGGTGTTTAGTAGGTATTTGTTGGCTGGAGATGGTGTTAATTCTTATTCAACTCTTGGCTGACTTGTTTTTTCCATTTGTTTTAGCTGAGAAAACATCTTTCTCATTTTTATTAGAACCTCTTTTTGTTTAATATGTTAATGTCCACCAAACCTTGAATTTCTATAACTTTCTGTTTGCTAATTCTAGTCCTCTTTTCACTAGATACTGTAAAACACTAACATGAATTTAACTTATCAGTCATTCTGAACTATAGTCTGTAGGGTGATAAAGTGATTTCGGGCTAGACACAGTGGCTCATGCCTCTAATCCCAGCACTTTGGGAAGCTGAGGTGGGAGGATCACTTGAGCCCAGGAGTTCAAGACAAACCTGGGCAACATAGTGAGACCCTATCTCTAGAGAAAAAATTTAAAAAATTATCCAGGCATGGAGGCAAGCGCCTATAGTCCCAGTTCCTCGGGAGGCCAAGGTAGGATTGCTTGAGCCCAGGAGGTCAAGGCTGCAGTGAGCCATGATTGTGCCACTGCATTCCAGCCCCAATGACAGAGGGAGACCCTGTCTTAAAAAAAAAAAAAAGTTATTTAAAAATTATCCTGCCTTTACACTGATTTTGTCTGGACTAGTTAGAATATTCCATTAAAATAGTGTTTCCCACTACTGGTCAGAGACAACTCCAGAAGCAGGGAGGAAAGGTTTTCTTAATTTGTCCTTGTAACTGTCTTTTGAATAACAGTTCTTCCGGGTGGGAGCAATCAGTTTAGTAACTTTTTATATGGGGTGGGTTGATTTACTTATATCTAATTACTATCTAAGAATTTTATTTTTTATTTTACTTTTTTTTTTTTTTTTTTTTT